GAAAGACAATCATTAAAAGCTGGCCCCAGAGAGAATATTCTAAACCCCGCGGGCCACGGCGGAGCAGAGAAAGAGAAGGAAAAGAACGTGACCAATTTAAACAGAATATTAGCTGGGATATGAATACCAAGCTGATGTGCTCCCCGGTATATTAGCTACTTGATGTACCTTTGCGTTGTTTTCCATGTCAACTTCTGATTGGACAATGCGGTGCCAAGTTTTGATTGGGCGACGCGAAATAAAGAGTTAAGATTAGTCACGCACTCACGTGATCCCTGCGCCAAAGGATGTTGAGTCATGGCTACGAATGGGATGTAACAAAAACTAAAGATTGAATGGGAAAAGTTTGTGGATAGGCCACTACGACACAAGCTCGGTACGGATGAGTGATCGTCAGAGGAGGGTGAGGCGAGCATAATCGTAAAGTCTAAGCAATACAGTCCTCCTTCACTTTCCGGCAGGACCAAATCATGGATCCTTTCCAACCGCCTACATCATCGCCAACACCTTAAAGGCTATAAACGCGTGTGAAAATGAGGAAAGGGAGATTGGGCCTGGTGTCTTCGACTTCCTCCAGACCCTCCGTCCCTCGCCATTCGGTACATCGCGAGTCAGGTCGATCAGCCTCGGCACCGCGCAACTTCGACCTCGGGCCACGCAGACGTGCTTCACGATCCTCTGCCTAAAATTGCCATTCTTCTGACTTCTTGACCTTTGCCCCACCCCCAGCTCCTCTCCCCTCAAATCCCCTCAAACTGTTCTAGCAAGACTCTGCATTTGTAGCACCTCATCAAGGATTCCCGCTTTTTTGGGTAGTAATAGTATAGCTCGGCGCAGAGTGCACAACTTATTTTTGGAGGCAATTGAAAATCCTGCAGCTCTGCGCGAGGGTGTGGACAGAATTGCAATGCACATGTATTTTTCAGGGCTAGCGAAGAATTTTATGGGCGTTTCCGACTGGCTCAAGGGAGATTCTCGAGCTTCAGAGGAGCAAAAGGCATCTTCGAAACGCATTGTGTGCCTGAGTGCGTTAATTTTACTTGTGTGTGTGTCTATATGTGTATGCGTTTGCGTGTACTTGTGTGTGCGCGCGTGTGTGTGAGTTGTGAGTGGCTCTGCCTACAAGAGTTTCACAAACTTGTACCATCGACATGTGTCTTGCAAATATGCCAACTTTGGTTGATAGTGTCTGCAAAACGAGTACATTGTAATTACTTGTTGATTTGATAAACTAGACTGACTCGCCCCATCCCAACAACCCGGCTTTCTGCCTCGTTTAAATTCGTTCGAGGGGCTGATTATGTGTTCGCGCGCGTGTGTGGAACAAATGATGACGTATTTCTGACGCCTTATAAACATATTTTTTTAAATAGACATATTTACCAATGCACCCGATGATACTACTGTACACCAAATTAGTAGTTATCAAAACTGTTTGTTGTCGATGCTTGATTGAGACTAGAGGGCAGGCATGTTAGTGCATGCGTATGTGTGTTGTAGGAGAACTGGGGCTGTTCTGCTTGGTACAGGACGGATAGGGTTGTTCGAAGCCTCGTTAACTGTTGCCCTCATGTTTTCCTCCGACCTCTTGCCTTTTGTGCAGGTTTGCTTCTCCAGACACGACTTGTCAGCGCACAATGCAGCCACGCACAAGCAGGACCCCCGGCCGTATCGGTGCGAGCAGTGCGGCCGCCAGTTCAGCACCTGCGCCTACCTCTCGCAGCACCGGCGTATCCACACCGGCGTCAAGCCGTACGCCTGTAGATACTGCGACCGGCGGTTCACTCAACTCAGTCACGTCCAACAACATGAGAGAATACACACTGGCGAAAAACCCTATCGGTGAGTCCCCCTCCAACCATGCCTCCACGTCGGACAGGCCTCCTGCCGCTCCACCGGTCAGTACATGCTTCGCTACTCGAAAGCTGGCGTAGAACCACTCGAGCCCTTTGAGTTTGCTCCGACCCTCACGCCTCAGGCTTTATGGCAGTCTGATGATATGTATTCACCCTATTTCGTCTATGGTGATGAAGGACTGGTAGTAGAATTTTCCCACAATGTGATATAAGTTGAGCTGACGTTTCCATTCAATTTCACATAGCCTTGCTTTCCCAAAAGTTGTTCTCATCCCGCCTGGGGTGGACTGCAGTTTCGACCTCGCATTGGTCTTATTAACACCCTCAGCGGAATTCGAACCGCGACAGTGCAGGACGGTAGCCTGACACGCTAACCACTCGGCTACACTGCCACGAGTAACCTTGAGTCACAGGGCATAAGTGAGTTTCAAGGAGGGTCAGGCCTCTGCTATATCATATTCTTCGTGGTGGCCGATTAAAGCAAACGTATCTTTACTATAGCAATCGACAACGTTACTTATATTCGTATAAGAATAGGGTTTCGAGACTACCAGTAAATCAGTGTAATGAGATGTATTCAGCCTATTTCGTCTAAGGTTCGACTCCCGCTGAGGGTGTTGATAAGACCGATGCGAGGTCGAAACTGCAGTCCTTCTGAATGAGAACAACTTTTGGGAAAGCAAGGCTATGTGAAATTCAATGGAAAACGTCAGCTCAACTCATATCATCTCATCACCTTACACGAAATAGGGTGAATACATCTCATTACACTGATTTACTGGTAGTCTCGAAACTCTACTGACGAAAAAGGGTGAATACATTTTATATTACTTAAATAATACCATCAATAAATAACGTCTAAAAAGTTTTTTTAAGAATCCAAAGCAGGATTGTTGAACAGACCTACGCCATTTCTTGTCCTGGCTGAACTCTTTCAAAATCCGACCACACATCAGAGCATAAGCTGATTTACTGGTAGTCTCGAAACCCTACTCTTATACGAATATGGCAGTCTGCCTGATTTCTTGAGGCGATTTAAGACTCACTCCATTTTTACTTTTCACACACACACATATGCATATATACACACACGGCCTGAATCGGCCTGATGATGCCTGTCAAAACGCATTATGGGACAGGGTTGGGGGAGATCGCGGCTACGGCCACACCACACATCAATTTCCCCAACCGGACTCGAACCCAGGTTGGGGTAGTGCAGCGTATGATTTCGACAGATTACCACCTTATGACATGATTCTATTTCGAAGGCAATTTAGCTAAAACTACTTTTTAGGCCATAATTGAAGAAGGGAAGCATACCTTAAAATATAAGCCATCCTTTCCATCGTCTAAGTAGTGCTAGGCATTGAGGGAAAGCTTAAAAGGTTCATGACGTGTAGAGGCGGGAGAAGAAAGAGGAGGTAAGAGGGAAGAGGAGAGGAGAAAAAAATAATTTTTCCGCGAAACGTTGGAC